CCCCCCCCCCCCCCCCCCACGCCCTACGGCCCCTCGTCGTCTCTGATGAGCCCAGAGGCGCGTACATGCCCGGAAGATGGCGCCTCTTTGCTGCGCGGGGCCCAAGGCCGAGGAAGACGTGGCATTCGAGTTTTGTTTTCCGGTAAAGGGCTGTGTCGCTTTAGTGCTGCGGTATGTGCTGGGTATAAGGGTATACATAAGCCTTAAGCTGCTGATGGGGTTCCCATGTTTCATGACGTTTCAGTTTAGGGAGTCTGATTAGAGTTTGGGCTTGGGGTTGAGAGGCTCTGCTGTTTTCCACGGTTTCGGGAGGTCGAGATTTTGTAGCTAAACGTTGGGGGCACCATTATCACAATGGCCTCAGGACCTCTATGCGGAAATCTTCAGTTGATCAGATACCATTTTCGGGTGAGGGGCTTAAAGTGCACTCCATCAGGTGTTAGTGCCTTTGACATTGACTGTCTCGTTAAGCCGCAGTTCGATCCCTGTTGAAGTCCATCTGACGTTCTCAGTCGTCCAGCTCGCATGCACGCTCGGCTTGGTCATTTGCAAAAGGATTTTGCAACTGGGGGTGTGAGGCTGTGTGGCAGGCTAGCCCGAGCAGATGCAGACCTCCATGTATGCTGTTAGAAAGAACCTGCGCATCAAGACCTGCAAGAAGTGGTACATTCGGATCTGTTCGGGTATGCCTCTCCCGTAAGCTCATGCAGGCAGCACAAACACAAACAGCATAGCAAGAAGAACGCTGAATGAGTCCAAAAACAGTCGACCCAGGCTCTCAATTTCCAGCGCTCTTACGGCTGCAAAGCGGCAACAAATGCGGACTGCAGGCAGGGTTCCAGGGCAACCACTCTGCAGGGAGGGCGAGAGAGACAGAGAGGATGAGAGAGGTGCTACTTATAGTCATAGTTATCTTTGGCGGCATCATCCTTGTTTTGAAAGGCTGGGATGCGTCGCAGCAGGCGGACCATCACACCGAATTATGATGGAAAAAATGCCGCACTTTGAGAAGGGTTTCCGTTCTGCGTTGAGCAGATTTAGGAGCGTGAGATTGCAAACTGCAACTCAGGGGCGCTCATTTGAAGGGCCTGGTCGGGAGAAGGAATACACGGACCTGCACCACAATGTGTCGCCATCTGGTATCCGACAGGGGGAAGCCACTGAAAAAACAGTCCGGATCGCATGGGCATGGGACAACATGAGACGAAAATGCTTGCCCGTTAGGTTAGCTTGCCCGCCTCAAGGCATTCAAGACGTCATGATGCTGGAGCCACCACAGAGAACTGTAGTCTTTGCAAAAGAAGACCCAAGCCTGCCTTGGATTTCTACAGTTACAAGTTATAAATATGACCCCAAACCCCACCCCAATTATTGAGGTCCCAGGCGGTAGGCCTCGCGGCCCAGTTCCGGTGGTTGCAGTCCCCAATTTGTTAGTGCCAGAAAACCGCTCGGCGCCATGGCCGAGATCCGCCCCGCGCAGCTGCCAAGTTCAGGCTTCACTCTGCTTAGAGTGTGTATAAGGGGTTTACGTTTCACTGGGTTTCATGGTTTAGGCGTTTTAGGGTTTAGGGTTTTTTGTGCTGTCGGTGTGTTTAGTGTTCATTTTGTCAAGATGAAGCTGGCTTCAGTGTTCAGTCGTCCAGAATTAAGTTTTCAGTGAAGTCCGTCCAGATCTAAGTGTTCATTTGTCCAGGTTTAAGTGTTCACATTCACATTGTTTAAGCGTTCACTTTGGTACCCAAATAAGTGCTCACCTGTCCACATTTAAGTGTTCACTCGTCCAGATTTAAGTGTTCACTGTGGTACCCAAATAAGTGTTCACTTTGCCACCCAAAGCCCCATAAAGAGTTACTGCTGGAGGAAGGGCCCAATTTAAAGCCCAGGAAACAAAAGCACCCAGTATCCCTTAGCCCTGAAGGCCTAAGAACTATTTTAAGCCCTTCAGGCTTCCCAGTCTACCCCGAAATCAAGCCTAAAGCCCCTAAACCCACCCCCCAAACCCTGGAAACAAGCAAGCCCACAAAGAATGCCCAGAGTTCTAAACCCTACAAACCACAAAACTGTTGGAACGAGCCCTGAATGTTTGAAGCTGTTCAAGCCCTTGCAAAAGAGCCGCCTCATCCCGAAGCCCCAAACCTTAGCAACCCTTCAGGCAGGGTGGAGTGGGAAAGGGCGAAAAGAAAATGACGTTGGTTCTAACTACAATGGCTACAATGCCCGAAACATTGCCATGTACAGCGTTTTGGCAACTTTCTTCAACATACTGCAGGAGGATGTTTGACGTGACGCACTGATATAAGCGTTCATGCCTTGCTCGAACATGCCCAAGCCACCGGTATGTGCAGCGTCTGGGCACTTCATACACAAGGATGTCATTAAGTTGTACAGTTCTGGTATAAGACTCATTGTCAACGCCTTGTGTGAGTATGCCTAAAGCACTGGTACTTACGGCTTGTTGTTTCTGAGCACAACAGGGTGCGCAACGGTATGGGCATGAAGTTGATGATGACTATGATGTTTGTCGTCGCCAAGATCCGCGATGCGATGGAGCAGTAGCACTGCTATGCCACCGGAGTTTTTGTTGACGCACTCTGTGGCCTCCAGCCTCAACGACGAGTCTGGGTACTCCTAATGTCCTTAACATGCCTCGCCTCGATGATGACGACGACCACTACACAGCGATATTATGTGAATGCTTGTACTTGGTACAAATTACAACAGTTTCCAGCCTAAGCTGCAAACCTACCTTTTTCTGAAAGATCCCTAACACCTCGGTTTTCTACATTCTGAAGTAAGAGTGCAAAGTAACACGACGACTCCCCATGCATTCCGCTTCCTTTTAGCAGCAACGCTGATAGAACCCTTTGAACCCTTCTGGCCATTGTTGAGGAGCCGTTGGCTGCTTCGGGGAGCGCCTGCGAAGAATGGGAAACGCCTTCGAGGCTGAGGCCTCGAGTGCATTTTGAGGGCCGCTTACAAAGGGATTCCTAGCAGTTACAGGCGGCTTTTATGTGGTGAAAGAAGCTTTTACTGGTAGGGTTTGCGGAACTCGATAGATAGTTTGGTAAAGTGCTTATATTTCGCGAAAAGGGCTGAAAGGTGTCGATTCGCATGCTCTCCTTGCTGTAGGTTAAGGGAGTGTGTGTTTGGCTAGACCGGGCTGCTGGACAACGAGGCCTGTGGCCAAAAAACGGTGATTATTTAGGTCTGGGTATCAAGATCTGTCAAGCTGGAAACATACATATCGGTGGTATTTGCCGCGCCCGAGCCTCGACATGGTCGTGCAGAGCGTTTGCAACCGCGACCACAACCCTTTCAACCCATGGGAGCGAAGCGGTACTGACTCTTGCGCTTGCTGCATTCTGGTGCCCGCAGGTGCGACAAGCTCTGGAGGCCTACGCAAATCCTAAACCCTAAACCATCCCTAAACCCTTCAGTCTTTGAAATGTTTCGGTGTCTTAACGTCTTTTGGGCGTTTTGCACTTAAGGTGCTCATTCCGGTGGGGTAGGCTCATGATGGGAATGGAAAGGTTTGGTGCCTGGCTTGGGATCGAAAATTCCCTAAAAGACATCGATTGCGGTCGACCCGAAGTCTCCCAGCTTTCCACAGGGCCTCTGGTAGTCATAGCACGGATAAGCGTCGTCATAGTTATTTTGAATTTGCTATGTAGGCATGGCAGACCGTAGCTTTGGCGAGTGTTGTTCAGCAGGAAGTCTTTGCTTTAGATTGGAAGTTCCGCAGCTGTCCAATAGACTCCCAGACCCTTTACTGAAGGGACATCCCGGCAATCCTACTGTGGATCCGTTATAAGTGCTATACTTAAAGGATTCGCCGGTGAAGCAAAGGGACATTGCGGGAGCCAGGGTAGGCCAGATTGTGATTTTAAGATGGTCCCCCCGCGCCAGGTGGCGGTCAGCAAGGCCGAATGTGAATCAAATCTCCTGCGGGAGGAGGTGCGCAGCATGGCGATGTTCTGCGCAGCTATTCTTCCGAAGCATATCCATGTTCCGTGTATGCTGCAGCAGTGCATTGTAACTTGCTGATGGCCCGCTCTCTTATAGTGATGAGCAATATCGCTGGAGCGCAGGTGCATTGGCTTCAAAGCCAGCTAGAGGCAGAACGCCAGCAAAACGCCGCCAGGTTCTCGCTCGGGATCTGTCCGAAATCAGAAAAATGCGTGTGACGACTTCCCTCATCAAGCAGGGGAATCAACTAGACCGTACAAACCGAAGCCCTTACCACCTCCGCGTTGCAGGCTTTCCGGCTGCTCCGACTTGAAACGCAAGCTGCAGGTCAGCCGCACTAATTAGTCACATAGCTTCCTTAGAGGGTTTAGGGCCTAGGGTTGAGTGCTGCAGTTTGGGAGGTTAAAGGCTATCAACATGGCCATGTGTGTGTTTGCTCTTGCCAGTTCTGGTGGGGCTGCTGTTGCTTTCAGTACCACTACGTTGTTTATTCTCAACCGTTCTGTGATGCATAGCGCCGACAATCCACCGCTGTCATCTTCACTGCCGGAAGCGTTACTGGTATGGTTTCTGGAATGCTTTGGTCATGGGGTTGAGCCGGCTATGATTCTCACTTCAGTCATGGCTTATGTAGGCCATTGCGGCTGTTGAGCATGTCCACTATAAACGTCTTCAGGATGGCGAAGCTGTCGGGTGACGAATATGATCATGACGGCGGGGGTTGCCAAGACTCAGATTGAAGATTTGAAGGTGATGACGGTCATGGGGACGATGCTCATGACGGTAATGATCAGGATGGCCTGGGCGCAATGATTGTGCTGCCGCTGGGACGACTAAAGTAAAGACTTTCACCAAAACGAGGTGTCAGGGGTAAGCGAATTTTCCTTGTAGTTGGATAAGGACACCCAGGGTAGGGGACAACAGTTGGAGACTTCTGCTCAACCAACTAGAAACAACGCTGCACCTCCGGGGCCTAAACCCTGAACCCCGGTCCCGCAGCGCAGGAGGCACAACAGGACCTGCAGAGGGAAAAGGAGGCCGAGCTTTGTGCCCGACACCACTCAAGCATAAGGAGCCATGAAAAATAAGACACACATACACGCACATGCGGGCGTCCATCCATTCATACATACATGCTGGCCCAGATAGCTTCATGTAGTACCCGGCTGTAAAGTTTCTCCGCATGCCGCGGTCCCTGAATAAGTGAAGTGGCCTGACAAGCTCAAGATCCTTGGCAGTCTGCCAAGTCCTTCAACTGCGGATCCCGCGTTCCAGGCCAGGGAGTACTGGCAGACAGAGTTCAATGCAAAAGAGGTGGCCGCGAAGGGGTTTACGACATTGACATGGATTCTTGCCCGGTATTTTGGTGTGCTCTTCTTGAAGGATATGTAGAGTCGTAGAGTTTCAGAGTTTAGGGCATAGAGTCTTCCGTTCTCAAGCGCCAAGAGGGCTTTCTTTCAGTCCTTCCCTCGAACTCTTCGTGGAACGGATTGAGTTTCCTTGCAGTCGTCGAAGTAGGGTTTGGCGCAAAGGGACCCAAACCCCCACATCCCAATACCCGAGGCCTCAAGACCTCTCTGCCTGAAGCCTGAAGCCCTCCGATTCGAAGGTTGAATCAACAAAACGGCACACGCCAAACCCCCAAAGCTGAATCGCAAAGCATTCCTGCGTGCCAGGAGCAGTATAGCCTACTTGAGGCGAAACTCGCTGCACTGGCGATGACTGAGGTGCCTGTGGGACGGGCTCGAGGGATTGTATTGATTCTGAGGAGTAGCCTCTTCCCCACAAGGTTCGCAGGTGTTTCAGCTCTAGTATCTGGCAAGTTTTTGTTCCCGTCGACCCTGAACCAAACCCTAAATCTTATGATCAAAAATGCCCATTTATCAAACTCTGAGCCCTGACCCGGTGCTCCTGGGGAGTGAGCAGAGCTGAGACGAGGCTGAAGCTGCTGAGGAGGCGAAGGCGGGGCGTGACATTTGTTTGCGATCACCGTTATTACTACCCTCGATATTCGGACGATGATGGTTCATTCAGCTTCTGCTTGTCAATGATTTGCATGTGTTATTCGCACTGGTATCATGATGCTTGTTACGGTTTATGAAGACGATGTCTACTAGTTGTATTGCCTTTGGTTGACTAGCTTGGGCCACCTGAAACTGGGTGTTGAACCTTGTCGATGATGGGTTATGACACCACTTGCTGCTCGTCTGACCAGCAACTCATCAGGCTGATGAGCTCCAGGAAGATTGCACCAAGCATCATTGAACTCTTTCATGCTGCCAGATCTCGTTGTCGCTCCACAGCACGCTAAGCTCCAAGCTGATGTTGCTGTGTCTTGTAAATACACAGGCCATGATTTCGGATTGGCTCCCCCGGTCAGGAATGGTAAGGACAGCAGCCAGTTAAGCCCTCGCCTAAACCTAAAACCCTTCTGCAAGGCTGCAGCTTGCGCATGGATGCCCAACGGTGGCAACGAGGCGATACCTCACCGACTTCATTCGTTAAGGTTTCTGGTTTTCGGGGGTCCGTAAACCCAACTTCCTAGCTCCGTTTGGAGTGCTGACCCACCGGCAACTCAGAACCGAAAATCTACCCTACGAACCATTCAAGAAGGGGCCCAATGAAGATTGGACCCTAGGCCGACATCGCCGCGGAGGACGAAGATTTGCCTCCGGTGCCTCTTGGCTGCAGTCCCTTGGAAACCATGATTTTCTGCCATATACTTAAATGCAACATCTTCAGAGTTATTTCAGGCTCTGAGCCCCTATGGGGAGCAGCTTCGCTGAGAGAAGTGTTGAGTTTTCGGGGGTCAGGAGTTTTTTTGATTTTGCGGATCAAATCTGCAATTGCGCAAGAGATTTCTCCCGAGGCTCATTGAGGATGCCGAGGAGGTGCATCCTTCAGGGACGCTGCAGGGCAGGGAAGGACCAACAGCACCAAATCAAAGTCCGGAGATGTTAAGAGCGCACAAACTGAAACCCTATAGAGAATTGCTGCCGCGTCATATCCGAGGCCACCATCATGAGATGCCATTTTTGTTGGTCGAACTCCGACGTCTAAACGAGGAGAACCCATATAAATCATACGAAGTCTCCGGGGCCCGGAAGTGCATCAAAGCATGCGCCGCGTTTCATTCGCGGTGGCTTCGGGCCCTCTTTCCATGCGAGACATGCAAGACATCATGCTGTTTAGACAGTAACAGGGTGCACTGTTGGTGCCGGTTCAGCATCGCAGCAGCACTATCTCGGAAAAGCTGGAACCCGGCGCCCTTGCACAAATAGCGTTCAGATACAGCCCTTTCTGAACCTTGGTGCAGAATGCTCCGCGCCCTGCTGAACGATCCGAGGAGTTGAGCCAGGCATCCTCCGTGTCCCATGTCTTGCTTCAGTTTAGGATGGTCTAGGGTTAAGGGTTTAGGTTTAGGGTCTAGGGAGTCTACGGTTTAAGGTTTAGGGTTGTGTTGGGGTTCAGGTTGCATCCGCTCATGGGGTTTGCTTTGGCAGTGAATCAGGGAGGAGCCTTCGGCAGGGCAGGAAGCAGAAAGTTACTTGCACGGTGGCTGCTAGATGGAGCTTTTTCCGAAAAGCCCAAGCCCAAACTCGTCCTGTCTGCACTCAAAACGACACCTACTGAACAGTAAACTCAACCTTTCAGGAGTTCGAGGAGATATCCATGCGTTTGGCAGCGCGGCACTTTCTCTTCGAGAGTTCGAACTGTGAGACTCAGGCGTGCAGATTTTACACCCACGGCTTCTATGTCGTAACAGTGCCTGCATGAACTGAATGCTAGAGGTATGCGACTGTTCGTTCTGGACAGATCAAATCCATCGCAGCGAAAGTCCTTTATCACAGCAGCCGAAGACAAAGAAGAGAGTATGGGGTGACCTTGACGCGGACAGGATGTTTCGGTATAGTTCGTTATACCTCTCAACTGCTCATGAGTCGGCCCAGGCCGTGCCCTTGCGGGACGATGGAAGCTACGATCGGGACGTCGGATCTGGAAACTTCAGGCTTAGGTTAGGCCAAGAGCATGCTCTCGGGATTAGGAGTAGCTGGCAGGACGTTGTGGCCCATTCAGCCAGTGGGGATGTTTTTTGCAGCTGCACTCGATTGTGGGAACTCTCAGAATTCCGGCTCAGCAACTGGCTCCTGACAACCTTGCCGCTGCCCTCTCGGTCCAGTTTTGCATTTGGCCGCACGTAATGACCACGCATGCCACTTTACTTTAGTCATGTGTAGGTCGTGTTGCGCCACCTGCTGTTGCGGCATAGTTCTGAGCTGACGCAGGGAGGTATCGAGTAGCTCGATGTCGTTTGTCTGAACTACCTAACCCAGGCTTTGCTCGCGTCGCCCGTCCCCGCAATGACGTCTCAGATCGCTCTATCAACCCGGCTGTGGCAGTGGCTTTTGTTCTCGCCGGGGCCATTCTACTTCTATCCCTGGAAGTCACTCGCGAATCATGTTGCCGGGGACTCCTATGCCGTTGGCTACCGTCACTTTGCTGCAGGACACTACGGCCGTATTAACCTCGCGCTCCACTGCGTGGCGCTTTTCATTCAAACTTTTGGGAACTTCGGTTTACTGCGACATCTTGATGTGATGCTGCCGATGTCTTTGGCAAAACTTGGGATCTTTAGCTCTGGATCCGTAGCAGCTTGGCTCGCCTGCCTTTGCCGGTCCCCAGCTCCCTTGCTGGCCCGGCTCGCAAGCTGTGCTTCCTTGGCCTTCGCCTTCCGCTTCTCGCCTCTGGCCACGGTGGAGCGCTTTGAGGCCGCGGCTCCCGGAGCTATGGTCCTGGCCCTCACCTGGGCACAGGCCACTGCAAGGAGGCCCATCCATAGGAAGGCCTATGAAAGGGGGCTGCTCATCATGGCTGGATGGTATGCAGCCTGGGCTCTTCTAAGGCGGACATGTGGCAAGAAGCTGCAAGACCAAAAAATCCAGATCCGTTGTGCCGTGCTGGGTTTCCTCAGCTTCATGGCGCTCCGGAAGAACCCCTTGAAACCTGTGGTGGTTCTGGGCTCCTTGGTGTGTCGGTTGGCTTCCACACTCACCGATGACCCAGTCCTTTACTACCTGAGCTATGCCTTCACCGGGTCCCTCTTCCAGGGCATCGCGCATGGCCTCACAGCCGAAGAAGCAACTCTGGAAGCCCTGGAACGACAAAGTGGCTTGGTGCCAGCGCATGGTAAATTTCTACAACTCTTCAACCATGCATCACTTAAAGACTATTGTCCCAATACCCCCACATCAAACCTGCAGTGAAGGCGAGGCGGCCAAATTGCGCTACGAGTGGTCTCATGTTACCTTCTTCCCAGCACTACTCTTCCATACAGCGGCTTGGATGGACTCTGCCAGCACTTTTCTGATGCTTCATTGGGGTTACCTTCCTTGCAACAAGTCAACACACAAGACCTTAAGCCCCAAACCACCGTCAAAAAAAAACATAACATAGACTCTAAAATCTGAAACCCATACATCCTAAACCCTAAGACGCTGCTGTGCTTGCCTGGTTTGCGGTCGCAGTCTCCGAGGTGCAAGCAGCGGCCGCCAGAAACTTCAAGGTTAAGGCTTAAGGCATCCAGCCGTTCCTGGGCCGTACATCTGGGAGAGCTTTGTAGAGGTACTTGTCATCATTGTTGTTATTGGTTAGTGCTTCTGGCGTTGCTAGGCATTACAACTGTTTGACCTGCTGTGGTTATGGTCATGCTTCCAGTAGGTACACAGACAGACAGACAGACAGACAGACAGACAGACAGTGAGTCAGAGAGCTACTGTAGCTGGCTAGATGGATAGATCTTAGGTGGCCAGATTGCTAGATACATTGATAGACAGTTAGATAGATAGGTGGTAGGCAGGCAGGCAGGTAGATCGAGAGACAGGGAGAGAGCGGATGGGCTTGCCCCTTGAGTCTGGGAGAAGAAGCCTGGGTCAATAGCTTAAGGGTCGCAGGAGCGACCTTAATGTCTTACAGAGAAAGAGTCTTTTTGACAAATCACACCGGCTGAGGCTCCGGAAATGCAGCTAGCTTTTGAGCTTCGGCGATGCCACTTCCCAGTTCCATGGGCGCAAGTATAGTTTCTTTTGTATGCAGGGAAGTTTCTGAGGCAGCATCCCTTCCGATCCTGAAGCGATCGTAACACGGTGGATCTCTCACAAGTGGCAACGCTACACATCCGAGAAGTGCTTGACAAGCTTGCAAAATACTGCGTGCACCTCCATTGCGGCATGATGCATATGGTCAACCCCAAACCAGGTTGCATGGACAACGTGACGTCACATGCCAACTTTTTGCAATCCGTTGCCTGCATCAGGCATCTCAGAGTAATGCTGGGGATCTGCATATGCATGTTCAGCAAGCCGAAGGTGAAGGGATTTGGGTTCGTCAATCGCCCAGGGAGATAACTGGCCCACCTCTACGGAAGTTCCGAAGCACAGCATCAGCTTCAGAATCAGCAACGCAAGAAAGTGTAATGTTGAAGCTGCTTTTTTCTGTCTACATCGCGAAGTACGTGCGGGTCAGTACGCTACGCCCTGGTCCATCCCTGCAGGACAAGCCATAAACCCTCACCTACAATCCGCAGGATCTTGGCAGCAGCACGGTGGAGCAGTGCCTGAATCGGTTAGAGGCGCTTCAAACTCGGCACGTGACTGGGCTAGGCTACTCAGAACTAGCATATGCGATCATATTCGTACATTTTGCGTGCCAGAATATGCTACAACAACACTGCCCGATTCTGTCGTTTTGACTCATCTTCTACATGATGCACCATGCCCTCGTAGTATAAGATGATTCTTTTTGCTGCTGTCTGTGGTCTTTTTCAAACACTATGCATCATCGCCGTCAGAGGCAGGAGTAAAGCATCACGACCTGCTAAATGCAAGTTTAATTCATCATCGTAGCAGTAGCTGCAGCAATAGCAGCAGGAGTAGCACCGCCCTGTCCCAGGGGTGCATCTGCTTGCCTGCGTGGTTCTCTTGCCGGCTCGAGGGTTTCCAGGGGACCTAATTAGCTTTCTAGGGCCACCTTGGGGAGCGCTCCCCACGAAACGCCATGGCCCATGGAAACTTGTCCGACCTGATCTTCTTGGCCCTGGTCGGGGTCACCGCACAGTGGTTGGCCTACCCGGCCACCCTCTTCGAGGATTTGGGCCCCTTGAAGGCTGGGGTGCAGCTTTGGAGCTCTGGGGACTCTCCCGATGAACTTCCCAAAATGCTCAGCCAGAAACACCCGACTCACGAGCCCTCCTCCCGTGGAGGCACAGTTCAAGGCCCCGAGCCCGGACATGGACGCTCTCATCAAGTTTGGTGCAGGGCTGCTCCTCTTCTTGGGCATGACTTTCTCAGCGGTCAGTTGGAACCCTGCAACAGGGCTTAAGCATCCCTTACTTTGCAGTATTTGTGTGCTGGGTTTCGACGAGATCATTTCAGGAACCATTGTGCGGATGAAACATTACGACATGGACGGAGGTTAGTTTGCATTTGCAGCAGTTGGAACTGCTGAATTGCAGCCCCACTACATAGTTAGCAAGCGTCGCACTAGACCGACCCTAAAAGGCTACGGCCTTGCAGATACGAGTTGGGCCACACCAGGTGAATGGAAAGATGGCCGGATTCGGCGCCTTCATCACCATGGGCTACTTCATCTACAGCGTCTTCAAGGCGGACGGTGAGGTCTTCCTCCCGCGCTTGTTCTACGTCTATGCAGGGGTGATCCTCCTCGGGGCGTTGCACATCTTCGCGTTTCCCTCCAACCCCCTCCCGCCGAAGACCCCAGAAGTGAAGAACAACCACGGCAACTTCTCCGACCTCATCGCCATCAGTTTGCTTGGTGTGGCTTTGTCTTGGTACTTCTATCCGGAGCACCTCTTTCAGGACTTGGGCCCCTTGAAGGCACAGTTCCGCAGTCAGTCCGCAGATCTGGCCACCCTGATCAAGTTCGTCGCAGGGCTCATGATCATCATCTCCTTGATGCTTTCCGGCGTCAAATGGCACCTCGCCAGCGGAGTATACACTTATCTTCGGAAACCCGCATCCTGCTAGCCCGTGTCTAAGCTCTTCGGTCTCTGAGCGCTTGCATGTCTGTCTTATGGCAGGGCACGCTGCAGAGAACTGGCCGTAATCGTCGCAAGCGCGTTCGGCTAACAGCGGAAGGTTATGGCTTCACTCTCCTGCCCGGACCGGTTGACACCCCTCCTCTCCCGCCACCCTGAACGCAAATCCACCATGTATGTGTGTATGTGTATATATCATAATCATATATATATATGTATTTTTGTACATTTATAGAAACACATTCATGCATACATACATACACATGTATGTGTATATGTATCTCTCAATGTTTGTCTATTCACATCAACTCGTGTATGTAGTATGTATATCTATCTATCTATCTATCTATCTACCTACCTACCTATCAATCTATCTATCTATCTATCTATCTATATACATACATACATACATACATACATACATACATACACGTGCGCATGTATGTCGATACGTGTATGTACAGACTAGTATATACATATATATACTTGGTCGGTAGATGACCACACTGTACTAGTTCATGCATGTTCTTGTGCATCACCTAGTCTTATACCAAGGCGTTTCATATGATCTCAAGGCATAGCATGTCATCTTAGAAATCTATGCGGTATTACATTACGCCTTGATTTTTTGTTCTATGCCAGTCGTGGCTAGACTGCATCATGTTATGCAGCGTGTTACTGTATGATATTTCATTATACTTTTGTTGTATGTGCAGCCTGTGCATTATTTTGTTCAGTTGTCTCGCATTTAGTTGTAGTATGCTACGTTGCGTGGTATACAAATTCGCTCATAGCGAGATGTGTTATACCGACTGCGAGTGTATCGTACTATGTAGTGTTAGATAGCGTGTCTTGTTATGTTGTGTTGCAATATGTCTTGTTATTTTGCAATTACCGTATTCGGTCATATGTAAATAACTGCTGGTGTTGGTAGGAGTGTTCTTATATATGTTATATATATATATATGTATGATCAGAATCATCTATGAAGGCGCGCGTGCATATGTGCATCTACGCATGCATGTGCACTCGGGCATATGCGCACTCGTGCATGCAAGCATATGCAGACGACTGTGTGAGCATATGTATAATGTATGAATGTATTAGGGTAGGCAGATAGATAGATTGATGAATAGGTAGGTAGGTCGGTAGGTTGGTCGGAAGCCAGGCCTGCAGGTAGGTCGGTAGGTAGGTAGACAGACAAATAGACAGATAGATAGAGAGATTGAGATGGAGAGATAGACCAGATAGACAAGCATTCTTGCACAACAAATACATACGCACTGACGTCCATGTATACGTGCACATACATACATACATACATACATACATACGTACATACACACATACACACATACATACATGCATGCATACATACATACATAAATAAATAAATAAATAAATACATACATACATACATACATATGCACACGGATAAGTACAATATGTACATGCGCACAGACATACAGACACTCAGACATAAATACGTACATTCGTTCATGTATTCATGCATGCATGGTTGTAGCCTGTGTATGTATTTGTAAAATTCTATCTATGTGTGTATGCACAGGAATCCCATCAACGGCAAGCTCAGTGGCCTTGGAGGGTTCGTTGCCGCCGGCTACACAGCCTACAGCACGTACAGCGCAGACAAGGCTTGACGGCCCAAAGTTCGAAACCCTGGAAGCCCCCAAAATACAGTGCAGCAGCCCTAGGAAAGGATTTAAAGCCTGAACTACATTCGAACTTCGAATCTGAAACCCCGGCCTTCTGAAGGAGGTGTTTCTCCCACGACTTTTCTATGTTTACTCCCTGGTGATCTTCCTGGGAGCTTTGCACATCTTCGCCTTCCCTTCCAACCCCGTCGTGAAGAAGGACAAGAAGGAGAAGAAGGAGGGCAAGAAAGAGTGAGGAGTCCGTGGGTCGGACGATTTTGACCCTGAGCTAAGCTGAGGCCTCTTGGGCCGCAGTTGCGCATGCCGTCTTGCAGCTTTCGGGCATGCGCGAGGGCTGAGAATCATAACTGCATGATCTCACGAAAGACCACCCCTCACCTGATTGGGCAACAGCAAGGGGAGGGCAAAACGATCCGCTTTCTCGCCTGTTCTATTCTATTCACTGGCAGGGTGTCTAGCCGGAAGTTGAATCATCCGAAGCCCTTTGTACCATCGTAAGTGGAGGAATTGTCTTCAAAGGAGATGCCTGCTCTCAGTCTTGCTCCTCCAGTTGTCAAGGTGGAAAATTTTTGTCGACCAGCTGTCTCAAAGTTTCCCCCCCATGATCGGAACGGCTGTGCCGGAGAGGCCATCTTCGGGACCACTGAGGCTCAGAATAGGCAGGCACTCCGAAGGACAAGCCAGGCACTCCTAAGTCCCTGTACTTAGTGAACCAGTGAGCCCTCGACCTTGATACCCGCAAAACCCCTCGAAGAAAAACAGCACAACTAAAGCAAGCAAAGCCGAAGTCCCCGAAGCCCATTCTTCGAGTCTACAGGCCTGCGGACCCCGTGGCTCCGAGCTCCTCCGAGCTGTGCCGGTGCAGGTGACCCCTGCTGTTTTTGCTCCTGCTGCCGCCTTTTCTGCTGCTGCTGCTACTGCTACTACTACTAACTACCACTACCACTACTACTACTACTACTACTACCACTACTACTACCACTACTACTACTACTACTACTACTACGACGACGACGACGACGACGACTTGTGCACCTGTTGCTCCTGCTGCTACTCCTAAGGCTACTACCATTACTCCTACTGCACTGCTACTGCTACTGCTGCTGATGCTGATGCTGCTTTTACTACTGCGGCTACTGCTGCCAGCACTACTAGTCGTGTTGCTTATGGCCCTTATTACTTCGAATAGCGTTGCTTATAATCTACATCCCACCCCACAGATTCGTCGCATGGTCAGCATCATCGCAGTGTGCATCAGCATCATAATCACCATTTTTGTTTGCCGTAGCTGCATTGTGCAACTCTGTTCTGGTTTTTCGGGTCTTTCGAGGGGGGCGGGTAGGTCTAGCTTCAGCCGCTTATGCGAGGCATTCGGCTCAATCGCTTCCGAGGTTTGCTGGTTGAGCCTGTTTGCGGTCTATCGAATCGCAGATAATGCTACGATTGCATGGTATGCAAGACTCTGGACCTTTTCTTGCCAATAGCATGAACTTTCCTGATACCCACCTAGCATGAACCACGAACACCAACCTTTCAATCTGCAGATGTTGTTCGGCACTGAGTCTGCTCACAGCTAAGTCAGTAGTGGCGACGGTCCGTGTTGCGGGGTGCTGAAGCTAGAGCATGATGTTGCAAAACAAAGCTGACCCACACAGGTCGTGACCATTGCTGCCTCACTTCCCAGACACAGAACACCCGAAGCACACGTGAATTACGTGCAATAATTATTGTTGAGCCTGTCAGTGTTTGGTTTTGCAGCCGTAGACAGAATCAGTAGCGACCTGCAGGGCTTGCACGCGTTGCTGGTCGCAGCCATCCGGCGGAATGAGGACAGTGTCCATTCCGAGAGAAGACTAGCAATGATTTTTCCCCAAGCAGTCGAGAATAGGGTTTTTTGGGATTTTTCAAGTCATGAACAGTGCTCGTAGGCATAGGCCATAGCAGCGACCCTATCACTTGCAGTTCTAGCCACAATTACGTACAGCTGGAGTAGCAAGCGCAGCCATCACAATCTTCACCTTGATCGCCACTTACACTGAAGATGCACTCGGGCCGTTATCGCCACTGGCAGCATCGTTAGATTCCTTTTGGACCTTGCCTTTCCGGTGCTGAGATTGGGATTAGCACAGCAAGACTATCATTGCTCCAGGTTCATGTCACGAGAGCCGCCAATTCGAGATGCTGAGCATGAAACTCACAGACATCCTAACAGCCCAACAATTTGTACTGACTTAGAATTTAGAGTCTATGGGGTGTCGGATTGATAGGATGGGTTCGGGGTCTGTTGCTGACTTATTACAACAACCAGAAGCTTTCCCTGTTCCAAACCACCGAAGCGGGTTTGAATTTGGAGCGATCCCAGAGATCAAGACGTTTACCCTCAGCTACTAGTACACACAACAGCATACCAAGCGACTCCGAGGCTTCGGGTTTCGGCGCGTGGTTTTCATGGTTGCTGCACTCATCGGAAGAGCCCGGTAGTTTACCGATTCGATCAGCATGTGTAGCAAAGCATCCGTGCCAGGGCCAGGAGTCCAGCCAGCATCCGGGCGGTAGTAATGGCTGTCATCATGGTCTTTCTATGTCTTTCTTGCTAAACATGTACTGCCTATACTTCCCGAAAGTACGTATCCTATAGACCGTGCTTGCAGTTGACTGTCAGGGATCCGGGGTGCTTCTGCAACGCATCCTCCGAGCTTGGGCGCCTTTGCTTGAGTGCTTTCGGGGTGTGCCTGGGGACATTACAGTCAGGTTCAGGGGATGTCAGGATAAACGCACATACCGTATAAGAAGAGAGGTTTAGAAATCAACTCGATGTTTATTCACGCTGTTTATGCCAGCAACATGTTCGCCGAAAGCCTGACCAGGTAACGGTGCACAGAGAGTTTGCACTTTCATGGCAGGCCCCTATTCAAGCCCTAGTCTCTCATTGTGTTTGGGGCTGCTTTGTCTCCGCGGAATCTTGGGGGCACTCATGAGTCATGGTATCATATCGGATGTCTTGTCTCTTGATAACCGGATGTTCAGCAGAGTGCCCGCTATAGAAGCGAGTCCCAAAAGAACTATTTGCTGAGATCTCTCAATCGTAGCATCCCGCGCTTGCCTCGACTCTTCGGGCCTGTGCACAGCTTGCCGGCAATCCTGGGATACTTTTCAACTTTTCGATCTGTGCATTGCTTTCACCTCTCATGAGAACCTCATGAGAGCACATCGCGGCTTCCAGGTTTGCCGGCTGCTAAACGAGCAAGACAGCATGGCCTTGCGCATCGCCGTTGAGCAGCGCAACATGGAGGCCTCGCTTCTGAGATGATGCACGACCCGCTACATTCCCGATAGGTTTCGGCTGATGGGCGTCCAGTCACACGGCCGGCTGCAATAGAGTGCATCTCGAGGCACAGATACATCGCCCATTGCGCCTTGACTAAGTCTTCTCGACGGCCTAAACTCAAACGCCAGAAACGCTTGGAACCCCAAGTGCTGGATCCTGGAAGGCACTACAGACGCTGGTGTCCCTAGGCCGGGCCGCATCGGGCGAGGGATAGTATTCCAAGTAGAGTAACACTAGTAGTACACTTGGAGCAAGCATATACTAACTAACGTTATGACTATGTTACTTTTGAGCCCGTCATCGCAGCGGCTGGACTTTCCTGGCGCCAAATTGTTGCCCAGCCGTTTTCCATGTTCTGATGAGTTAGTCAGAAGCAAACCCCACGAAGAGCTAGAATTTATAGTAGCAAGAACGGCTGGCTATAGTCATACGGACTTTCGGACTCGGGAAGACGCATCGAGCACGGCCACACAAACTGCAGAGTTCGCTTGCACCTCATCCATGCAGCCTGCAGTACTAACCTCTCGCACCCGTGTTCAAACATCAATCGCAGCAATATTCAACACACGCTCAACAGACAACTGTGTATATACCGTGAATACCTATACACACATTCACATACTCCCACAATACTCGGGGTCCTTAACTGTTCATTGGTTTGAAGGTGGCGTTTCCGCCATTATGTCGGCCACAGCGCTCATGGAAGAGGTCGGCTTGAGTGCGGGGGGCTAGGTTCAGGTTAGTGCTGTTGGGTTTAGGGATTAGGGTTTAGCGTTGATGAAAGCCCTCGTGCTGCGGAATTCTGGGGTTTGCTTGGCTACTACCACGCCTTGAACTTGAAGCCAAACCCTCGGGAGAAACATGACGGGTCACGGCGCTGTACACCCTATAGGCCCTAGACACTTCACAGCTACGCTGCTCAGGAGGGCCTCGCTGCCAGGCACGTTGCCAACAAGGGGTGCGGTTTGAAAACGTCGACGATACGGCACTTGTGCAGAGGATGGTCGATGACTAGGATCTAATTGATGTTCGTCATAGCAATGGCATTGGTAACAAGTGGCTGGTGCCAAGGTTCACAACAAACAACCAACGAGCACTCGCAATGACAACCACTGCAGTGCCGGCAGCCACAACAAAAGCTCTGCCCAAACTGTAACAGCCGCAACAGCTACAACACAGCAGTAGCAGCATCATCAACGACAAAAGCGACATGTGATAGCAGCGATGTGACCAACACCCACCCCATACGCATGGCAAAACACGGAAGACCGCAGTACTTTGCCAAACTCAGTTATCAGAGCCTCGGAACACAAGTTCTTCTTGTGCTGCGGCACCAGCACCAAGCAAGGTCTGTCGAACTTTGAGTTGTTCGGTTTCGGGGCTGCGTTTCAGGAGAACTCTTCGAGGTTTAGGCATCCGATATATTGGATTGATTGTTCGGTGGGAACGGCTTCATCTCAGCTGTCTAGGAGACCCCCAATCAAGGGATGTTTGGCCTCGGCATTTTGTTTCAGATGTTGGCATGCTTCTCTAAGCCCACCTAGCAGGAGGGCGCCAGATACTGTTCCTCTGCATTTTCACGAGTCGCGGGCAGAGAGCTCAACAACATCGGATGAGTTACCAGAGCTTAGACTTCCAGCATAGCACAGTGAACGAAACACGATCACCGAAAACCACATGCAATCAGAAATAGGTCCAGTAGCCACAATCTCCTTCAGAGCCCTGTGGGGCAGACCTATTCCATGCCAGGGGCTCGGAGGGGAACGAGTGCATCCTTTGCGCTGTCGCAGCTGCGGGGGATGTGGAGACCCTGCCCGCGGCTGATGTTGGGGGGTGGGATTTAGAACAACTGGGTTTATAAGAATTATAACTCTGAGGGTCTGTCTCCTCGGTGGTTTCTCCACAGAGTTTGCCAAAGGAGGCTTAGCATATCTGAGATCCTTTGTGGAGGTGGTGAAGCTGAAGATGCGGTCCTCGAGCTTCTAGGTATTGAACTTTTTCCATAGCATGATCATTGATGGTAGGTCCCCTAGCAGAACCGCCTTAAAGCTCAAGCACCATGGTCAGACCTTCAAGCCCCTACCTTCAGGCGGGGACTGCGCTCTCTATCTGTTTCAACGATGCCGAGGCACCTTTTGCTGGACCACCTCCGTGGTGGGGGCAGGACCTTCAAGTAGTGGCTTCCGGCATTCGGGGTTTCAAGCGTTCTGCTTCCTGCGCCTTGTGCGCGTTGTGAGAGTCGAAAACCAACCGTTTTGACGGAGCATGATTCGATGTGCGTTTGTGGAAGAGATGAACATGCTGAATCCCGTGGCCTTGCGTCGGGCCAGCCATACCACCCTTCTACAGGCTAGTTGAATAAAGAGAGTGATGGCCCTTTCTTCAACCTATAAGATGAGTAGCTTCAAGCACAGGTCGCTGCAAATTGTAGTTCCTGCTGAAGGTACCTGTGACTCTACAACAATACTTCAAGCTTGAGATCCCAGGCTCTCTAAAAAGAATGCCGAGCCTGAGCCCTGCGTGACTTGGAGGACCATCGAGGCCATGAAGAAGGTGCACACCTCAGCCTCAAGCGACAACTTAGGGTTGGTGGTTCAAAGTTTTATGAAATTCACTTGAGAAGAAGTAGACGTTGTGCTTCCTGGACAAGCGGGCCTGCCCGGGCCGCCCAACAGCTACATTCGGGGTGTAGGGAGGGAACAGAACCCGATGATGCCTTTCTCTTTCGGTCAGATCCAGGGCATGTGAGATCAGATCGCGGGTCGCTGTGTTCAGTGACAAGGAATTTGGATGGAACGTTTGGGCTGTCGGGCTTTGAACTGAGGACCCCCTATATTCGGGCTCGTCCTTGTTTAAGTAGGAGGGGGAAAACGCCCTATATGAACTAAACCCACGCATCCAAGGCCAGAGCCCTTGCGGCCCATCGTGGCTCGGGCCCCCGGGGAGCTTGCCAGGGCAGCCTTGGGTACATGTCGTTGGGTCCATGTGGGGTTTTGTGGCTCACAAACTTACCGGGGCTGTATACGGATTTGTTGTCGGGTTCCTCTGAGATTTGTTACGAGGGTTTTATAGATCCCTTTGAGTTTAAGTTTTTGTTGCAGGGGTGTCGCTTTGGTCATTGAACCAGAGTTTAAAGGTTTGGGTTCAGCGTTTCAGTTTAGAGCTTCGCATGTGTAGGGGGTATAGGGTTGGGGACTGTATGCTAAGAGGTCTTCGAGTGGCAAGGGGTATCGGGCCGGGGTTATAGAGATAGCATGAGCAATGCATGCTTCTGGGAAACGGGTTGAGGGGAGTTATCAGCGTAATAGGGCAGCTGGGCAACTAGCACGAGCTTTGATACACTGAACCTTCCTGGCCCACCGGATTCATTTGCCAGAAACCGTCGCCTCATAACTAACGTGATCCTCAGAGTTCGAGTGCACTTTCCACGCCCGGCGGAACTCGCAATGCACAAATATTTTCAAAACCTCATTTCCAGTGTCATCAGCTGCATCAACATCGTCGGGGCTGAAGCGAGCTATTTGGGGCAGGGCCAAAAAGCTTCAACTACCTCAAGCAGGGTTCCATGGTTGAGAATTGAGGCGTTTTGCAGGTCTCCTTTCGTTGCTCTCGGCCTCGGCCCTGAGGGTCTAAACTCTAAACCTGAACAACAGCTGTCGACAGTGGCATGCCAGGTCTCGATTCTCAGCCACAGATCCGTTTTTCTTTTCCAGAATGACGACGGCTGAGGCCATGTGGGCACCTTGAACCTCTTGGGGCGGCATTTGGTGCTCGACTGAGCTTCTTCGACTTCTGCCGCGGGCTGTTGTTTCAAGTGTTTCATGATTGATCTTGTTCGCATGACCTGTTTTCTTTTTCGAGCAGCTAGATATCATAGAAGCTGCTAGTGCTGGATCTGGTAGCGATGATGGTGCTGCTGATGATGATGATGATGGTGATGGTGAAGATGCTGATGATGAAGATTGTCACGATGATTGTGGTGGTGATGATGGTGATGATGATGATGATGATGAAGATGGTGATGGTGACGCTGACGGTGATGGTGATGTTCATGGCGCTGATGATGTGTGCAAAGATTCTGTTGAGGATGGTGATGATGATGATGATGATGGTGCTAGCGATGATGATGATGGTGATGGTGCTAGTGATGATGGTGGTGGTGGTGATAGTCCTAAGGATGATGATGATGATGATGATAATGATGATGATATGATGACGGCGATAGGGATGTTCATGGTGCTGATGGTGGGACGATGATGAAGATGATGGTGATGATGATGCTGATGATGGAGATGGTCATGTTGATGATGGTGATGTTTCGGGGTGATGATATTGTGAGGACCGAAGGTCATGCCAAGAGTGTGATGTTTCGGGGGGGTAATTGATGATGATGGTCAGAACTCAAGAAGAGCCGCTTATCAGCTTTTGGTTGATTGAAACTCGATGCCTTCCAAATCATGAGCATTGGCAGGTGTTCGGATGTTGTGTTATTCGTTTGTTTTGGCTGGTTGTTGTTGTTTTGACCCGGTAGATGTGGTCGTCGTCGATATCATTTTGTCATGATGTAATGCTGCTGGCTGGCGACGAGTAGTCACTGTGGTCATGACGACATAATGAACCAATGCTTTGGCGACCACCACGACTGTCGCATAGGTTGGCATTACAAGTGTTCTGCTGGGTTGTTATTGAAATGAGTTTAGTTTGGTGGCGTGTTCGTGCTAGCATGGCTGGTTGCTGGTTTTTGCTCGTCGACTATTGGGTTTGTTGCATGTTTTCTCCCTGTCCGCCGTGTCAGTGATGAGTCTTCGATCGCTGCTTCTGCGGCTGCTGAGTCTTGCCAGGAATTGGGGTTCTGCCTTCGCGACGGCCTGATGCTGACATATTCTGTCTGAAGTTGTCCAAACCTCACCGCCGGTTGGGAGTGACGAATGTACTGAAAATGTCGCTTTCAGGTCGTCGAACTCTCCATGGTCGGGAACAACCGATATCGTGCAGGCCAAGTGGCCCACAGATTGAAACTCACAGCATTAACCATGCAGCGACTCGTAGTCTTGACGGGCTCCGAAACTTTCTGCGCACTTGAAAGTTAAATTGAGAAGGCCAAGCGGACATAGCCAGGAAAGATGTAGGGACGAAGTGCAGCTGATCACTCAGACCGGGGCCCACCGGTTGATTTGAGGGTCGGGGAATCCAGCCTCTGAGGGACCATCCTATAGAAGAATCGTATCCGCCTAGAATAAGGATTCGGTACGGGTTTTACGACATAGACCTCGTGCATGAAATATTTTAAGCCACTGAAATTCAACGCAAGGTTGCTTGTCTCTGGAGGCCGGTCTGAGGTCTGCGTTGAAAGCACATCGGCTTTGTCAGCAATCACCTACATTAAATGATGATGTGGCGTTCTGGTACTTCTAGTAATTTCTATTGATGTCTGCTTGCATTGACACCTTGGAACTGCGGTTTACATGTGTATGCGTGCGCCCATGTTGTAGTAAACGTTCCTACTTTGCAGTCTATGATGTGATTACTCCTGCTTTCGTGCCAAGTTTTAGCCATGTTTCTGTTTAGCAGGAGTGCCATGCAGCACTATTGCCCCAGCTACATGTGAAAGGAGTGCGATGCAGCGATCATGTCTGCAGCTACTGCTCCAGTCTAGCCGACAAGCAGACTCACCATTGTGAATAATGAGGGTTCTGTCCTAGTGTTTCAGACTTTAAGATCGACCTTACAATTGCCATTGATGCTGTCTTCGTCATGCGAAAAGGGTAACCGAACCGAAGTCTGCTGCAAATGAATACAGCTGCAACTCGGATCGGACAGGCGATTTCGAGGGCGCCATACGCGACTACCAGGAGGTTCACCCATTGCCGTCTTCAGAGACGGGTGCCACAACTCGTTCAAGGTGGGGTGGGGACACACTAGCACCTGTCGT